CCGGGGGGTCCCGCCCCCCCGCCCCCAGCCTCTCTCGCTTGTGCCACTACAGTGCGGTACAGGCAATCAGCAATATGCCCACCATTTGGGGCCACTGAACCATAAGATGGTTTTGGGGTTTTTTTTTTTCCTCTTTGCTCTTGCTTTCTAGCATTAGATTTTCAAATAAATATTCATGACGTGATAGTATTCTGGGGGAAAATAGAAATAAAACGTAGTAAAAAATGTTAATATTTTTCTTAATTTCTGTGTGTTTTTCTTTTAAAGCCCTGTCCAGTTGGATGATTTTGATGGCTACATCAAGGATATGGCCAAAGATTCAGATTATAAATTTTCTCTCCAATTTGAGGTAAATATGTGGGGACTCTATGTCCTCTCCTAGCTGCCATGCCTAAATCAGCTTTTTCCAGATGTTATGTTTGCGCGGCATGTTTCTGTGCTCTGTGTTCCTTAATGTGCGCTGTTACTGGGTGGGTCAGCTTCATTTCCAGTTCTGCAGAATTAAAAAATGGGTCTTGGTGTCATTAAAGACTGTATTTAGTAAGCTGATTTGAGTGTCTCATCACATTCAATTCAAGATAATTGTCAGACCAACACACTTCCTTTAAGTTTAGGACTTGCTGGAAGCCTGAATTGAATTCAGGATGTTAGTGTTTTTATTTTATTTATTTAATGTCCTTAATTTGAGGGGCGGCACTGGAATGAGAAGGTAACATCGGAAATCTCTTTAAGAGCAAGGAGGTCTCCCTAAGACCAGTTCAGGTACCTTCTCTCAATTGCCCAGAATTTGAAGTCAGTTTAGTAGTATAAAACTAAAAAGCTCCTATCCTAGAGCTATCTCCGAAAGATTTAAACATTGAAGGAGGGTGGGGAGGATTGTCAGGGCATTTCCAACATTCTGGGTGGCTGCCAGCGAAAAGTCCTCTGATGCATCATATATTAGATGTAGCTACTGAAGGTAATGACTAGGAAGATCTTAGCATTCCCCGGTGTCAAGACCAAAACCCACTTGAGGACTTGAAGAAAGCCCTTTAAGTGGGGTGGATGACCACCACAGAAATAACTTATCAAACCTCTGATTTGACACTGGTTTGGCTGATTAAGTGTGGGTGGAGCGGAGCAGTCCACAGTCACAACCTTGGATGGCAGCCGTGCGTTGGCAGCATCAGCAGGAGGGACGACATCATTGCTCTCCAGCTGCTTGGAGCCAAACTTTGAGGCATCAGAGCAGGAAAGTCAGTATAGTCCTGCTGTCAGTTTATAAAGTGAGTTACAATTTTTTTTCAGCCTGGTACCTTCCACAAGTAATCACTTCACAAAGAATTATTTTTTGACTGTTTGTGAGTTTGACCTTGGTGTTTTTCTTTCTGTTACGCCAGGAGCTAAAACTGATTGGGCTTGACATACCCCACTTTGCTGCTGATCTTCCCATGAATCGCTGTAAAAATCGCTACACAAATATACTGCCATGTAAGTACAATACATATAGGCTCCTGCTAAAGTCCCTTGAGAGGGAAAGTAGAGTTTTAATAAGAGAATTGGAGAATCAGGACAGATTTTCTGACTGATAAAAACCTGTTCTAAAACCTGCCCTTAGAGAGAACCAGTCAATAGATGTTTTCTGTTAGCTTTGAAGAGACGTAGCTTTCTGGGGATGTTTATCAAGATGGGAGTTTGGAGGTGAGAAACACAAGGTCGTTTCTACTACTGAGTAGTGTAACTATATTTTTCTTACGAATTTAATGAAACCTAAGGGAGCCCAAAGCGATGGCGGTTGGAAGGTGTGTTTTGCAAAACAGTAATGATAGTGCATCCATGCAAATATTGCTCTCTGTTGGTAAATGGGAGCATTTTCTATTTTTTTAATAGATTTTTTCCAGGTTTTATAGGTTTAATTTTAATTTTGCTGAGTTGGAGATGAGTGCCATGTTTGAGAGGCAAATTATTTTTTTTTTCCTTTTACAGATGATTTTAGTCGTGTCCGGTTAGTTTCAATGAATGAAGAAGAGGGGTCTGACTACATTAACGCCAACTACATTCCTGTGAGTACAGAGACTCAGTCAGTGTAACAGTGTCCTGCACAGCAGTCAGAGTTTGTCACCTGCAAATAGCACAATATCTCCTGGAAGCTCAGCCACATTCTCAGCATCTCCTTTAGCTTTCAGTATTTTGCCTCCAGGGAACTGTGCTTTTCACTAGCCACCAAAAAAAAACCCAACCCAAACCCCAAAAAACCCCCAAACAAACAAACAAAAAAACCACGGGGGGTTGGTGAGGTGGGGAAAGATTTTTGGAAAGTTTTGCCACAGTAGCACTGGGTAAGCTGTGAATCTTTGTGAAACTTAGATTGGACTGGTAGAGAATCGGGGAGGAAATGTTAAGTGATTCAGTGGCTTTTAAAGACAGCTAGGAAAAACATAAACTTCTAAATGACAAACTTTTCCAGGTTTCTACAGCACATGGAAAAAAGAATTAAGCCAGACACTACACAACTGACAAAATGCACACAGCCCAGATGGTGCATGGAGAGACCTTCTGCTTTTCCGCCCCGTCTCTGGTGCTCCCAGTGTGCTTCCCTCTGCCTGGCACAGAGCAGCCCTTTGCCAGGGACTAGCACCCGGGGGTTTAGGATAATTAAAGTATACGCAGAGCTGTAGTCAAACAGTTTGACACTGGGGGTGGGCTAAAACCTCTTTCCGCTCTCACCTGAGCTTGTGGCTTATCCCTGCCACTGCTGCAAGGGTTTGCCCCTCCGTTATCCCCTGCCTCGCCGTGTCAGGGAGAGCGATGTCTGCTGGGTCCTCTGCATGGAGCGGGACACTGCGGCATCCGTTTAGAAAAAGACCTTTCACTTGGGGAGTGTAGACACACGAACAATTCTGCACCCTTGCCATGAACAGAAGACAGAGCTGGGCCTGGCTGTGCTGAAGAAAGCTGAGTCACAAAGGGAGGAGCCCTCAGAAGAATCAATGCAACTACTTCTTTCTCACTCTCGCCCGTGCGTGTACTGCTGAGCACGTTGCCTGCACTTAGTTTCTATGTGTCAAGAGCGTGAACATAAACACTCAAGCTGCAAGTGTCTAAGCACGCAGTGAAACGAGAGAGAAAAATGTTCCAGTGTTCAAAAGCATCATTCACAAATCAGGAAACTTCTATGACATGGGATTATGGATAATAGGATTTTATACAGCAGTCCTTTTTGGATTGTTCTGTTCTGCTTTTTATGGTTTACATCTCTTTAGTTCTACTTATAGCATAATGCTGACATGTCACCTTAGTGCTTGGCTTTTCCTGATGTTTGCTTCTCCACTTAGTACCTGCCTCCAAACATAGATACTAGTGGTGGTCTGTGTCTCTGTGACAATAAAGATCGGACACTTATTTCAGACGTAGCCCATGCAGACAAACAAACAGCAAGTACTGTGTAGTGCAAAAACTCAGATTGAGCTGACTTCTAGAGATGTCTAGAGAAAGCCATTTATGGAAAGTGGTCCCAAATCATGAATATTTTTACAATCCTCATACTGTGGTGGCACAGAAATTGCTCAGTTTACAGAGGATCGTGCTGTGTGTTGGATGTATCTTTTGCTCTTATTAGGAATATCAAATAACTTTCCAACTGCAGTTTTGATGATGCAATCCCAGCAAATATGGTTATAGCAGATGCCAAAATGGCCATTCTGTGGATCTTTTATTATAGCCTTTATAATGGTCTTTTGGTTTTGGAGAGGGGAAGGAGACTTTCAACTAAAAGCATGTTGATAGAGGTAGGAGAAGGAATACATGGATATAAAGCTTCTGAGCTTCAATGATAATCTGTTAAGGATGTTGACTCAGCATGTCTCTATTATTTTAAACAGAATTCTAATTAATATTTTACTAATTTAAGTCCTTATGACATAAACACGTGCATATAATTCTGTTCATTGCTACCTTCCATTTACATCAGTGACTGAAAATCACCACAAGCACTGCTTGGGATGAGCAGGCTAAGATGTCTGGAATTGGTTTTATGTCTGTAACTAAAGAAAACCTTAAACTATGAAATCTGGAAGAAACTGGAACTTTGATTTAGGTTTGTCATTACTTTTTTTTTTTTTTTTTTTTTTGTAATGTTGCCTTTACTGGTCTCAAGGCAAAGGGTCTGTATAGTAACAGCTTCATCTTGTGCCTTTCATTCTAGATTGCTTACACTTTGGGGGCATCAAAACCTGGCAAAAGTTGTAATTTCAAAATACCATGAAGTAGTTTCTTTATAGTAGAAATCAATTTTAAAAGTACAAATTGATCTTTTGAGCAAGCTTAAAAATGCGTATGCCAGAGAAAAATGTGTGTTCTGAAGTGTTGGTAAACAGCACCTGTCTCTGTTTCTTAGGGTTATAATTCACCCCAGGAATACATTGCAACCCAAGGACCACTGCCAGAAACTAGGAATGATTTTTGGAAGATGGTTCTCCAGCAAAAATCTCAAATTATTGTTATGCTTACTCAGTGTAATGAGAAAAGAAGGGTATGTAACAAAATCTTGCACATAGTGTAAAAGAAACTACTCTGAAAACATGTTTATTTTCTGGTGAGTTAATTTCTTTGCATTGTTTTCTGATCATGAGGCAGCATCGTAACGAGCCCTGGAATGGCACTTCCTTCACTTATGGCAGGTTGATTACGGGACTGGAGCATCTTTCACACGAGGAGAGGCTGAGAGAGTTGGGACTCTTCAGCCTGGAAAAGAGAAGGCTCAGGGGATCTTGTCGCTGTGTATAAATACCTGATGGGAGGGAACGGAGACATGAGACCCCTCAGTGGTGCCCAGTGACAGGACAAGAGGCAGTGGGCACAAATCAGAACACATTAATTTCCATCTGAAATCAGGAAACACTTTTTTACTCTGAGGGTGTTGCACAGGTTGCCCAGGGAGGTTGTGGAGTCTCCCTCCTTGGAGATATTCAAAAGCCATCTGGACATGGTCCTGGGCAAACAGCTCTAGGTGGCCCTGCTTGAGCAGGGGAGGTTGGACAAGATGACCTCCAGCGGTACCTTCCAACCTCAACCATTCTGTGATTCTGCATTTTTAAGTTTAAATAATGATAAAAAAATACAAGTATTATGCTTTACATTTTCCTTGACGTTATAATAGAAATATTTGGAATATTTTTTTTTTATATGTACATTCTTGTTCCCCATGTTTTGTTCCTTTTAGACCTATACTATTAGGAAAAGTAATCTACAAGGACACTATGTATTTCCATTCTTTGCTATGCTAACGCTACCCTTCAGAAAACCAATGTATAGCTTACGTCTACAGCTACACAAATAGGAATGATCAGGCTGAAAGTCATTGCAGGCTATATTACCTCTTAATGCAGCATCAAGTAAATAGTGCTGTAGATGTATCTAAAACTGAGGTTCAGTATACTGTTGATTGTGCTTTTTTATATACACATATATGTATACATTCATATAAAACCAAATATGTATGTATTTATTTCCCTTTCAGGTGAAATGTGATCATTACTGGCCTTTTACAGAAGATCCTGTTGCATATGGGGACATCACAGTGGAGATGCTGTCTGAGGAGGAGCACACAGACTGGGTTTATAGGAATTTCCGAATTAGCTATGTAAGTGAAACATTTTACCCTACTAAAAGAGTGGGAATAATTACAATCTAGCCTTTTTCTTTAACTTTTGGCCATTTCTGGCATTCAGTGGAAAATGCCTAAGAAAAAGATTGTTGGCCTTACCCTCACTCCACACAGGCAAATGGCTAAATCACAAAACTTTCCCCTAAAATTGTCATCTCTGTGAATTTCTCAGCAAAGTGCAAGACTGAAACAAAAGTAGTACCAGGTTCTGGACACTCCTGTGGTGCCAATAATTAGTGACAACAAATGCGTAAACTTCTTTATCTCTGGCATATCTTCTTGCAATAAGCTATTCAAAACTTGAAAATACCAATGTAGAAATTAAAAATATTTTTTCAGAAGGACAATTCTGCAGTATTAATATATTCCTATAAAGTATTGAAACACACGTGAGAGCATGTGATTTCCAAATTAAAGCTGTTCAGATTTTCAAGCGTTTCTTTCCAGCTTTGTTTCCTGCACCAGCTCGTTGCCAGCACCAGCTCATGAAGGAAAGGTTAGAGATAGAGAGGGGACGTGAAAAAAGCTGGCCAGTGGCACGTCAGCATTGGCCCAGGACCTCAGTCCCACTCAGCCAAGCCTACAAAGCCTGCACAGGGCGCAGGCCAGGAGCACCAATGCATAAAACACAATGTGTTGGGCTGTTGGCATCCATTGAAAATAACGATGAGACTGCAGTTTGCAGTTCAGGTAAACTGTCCTTTACCAAACCCAGGGCAGCTACTTCAGGGTATTTTGTACTGATGACATTTATTGATATCCTTTGCCTAAGGATCTGCTGTTGCCTGTGACTGGAGAGAGGTTACTGTAGTAGGGGTATATAGCCAGACCCAGAATGGCAAAACTTAAGGTATTGATTGCCATGGGTTTTGGTGATGACACCACCCACCCCTCCCCATGTTTTGAGTTCCTTTAAGTCTCAAAGACAAAATGTGTTGTGCTGAGGGTCTTATTTCACCTAAAGCCATGGGAGTTCTTAGCATTATAAATGTTTTTTATAATAATGGGTATTTTTCTAAATATTTCCTTTGCCCCATAATGATTTTTTCTTCCCTTCTGTTATTTTTTTTTTTTCTTTGAAACTTGAAAAGAAAAACTCCCGAGAGTCCAGTCTTGATGGTTTGCCAATAGCGTTGTTCTTTATCTGTGGCAAAACAAGAAAAGGAGAGGGAATGAAATAGAAAGAGGAAGAAGGCCTAAACTTGAAAAATGCAACAGTTCTTGATTTAAAAGCAAAATAATATCCAACCACCATGAGGAAAAAAAGCGAAAAACAAATCCCAAACCCAGAAACAAGAGTTCATGCCTTTTTTTGTAATGATGGTCTGATACCCCTCCCCTTTTTAATCAAATAGCCTGTAAATTCTTTGCCACTTATTTTTGGCTGACTTTACCTTCTTAGGCTGTATTTGGGGGGGAAAAAACCACCACAAACCGACAAAAACCCCTCAGTCTGACTGAGCGTGACTGCACTGTTAAAACTCCTGTGAACATGCTGCTGTTCTGCTTTTCCCGTTAGGCTGACGAGGTGCAAGACGTGATGCATTTTAACTACACCGCCTGGCCGGATCACGGTGTCCCCACGACCAACGCTGCTGAAAGCATCCTCCAGTTTGTACAGATGGTCAGGCAGAAATCAGCGAAGAGTAAAGGCCCCATCGTCATACACTGCAGGTAAATGCTTCAGGGAAACGGAAAAGTGAAGGATGTCACTTGTTAAATAGGTTAGGAAACCGTTGGGAGAAGAGATTCTGGGGTTCTGCTTACCTGTTAGCTGGAGATGGTTCTTTTTTGGTGTTACGGGTAAAGGATTAATCCCCAGTTTTGAATACAGTGGGGCTGGGATTTCAGCCTGCAGCCATAGACACAAAGGCATTACTTTTTAGAGAAGGGCCATCTCTTTGGATGGTATAAACAAATAGCTTGAGGAAGTGCAGCAGGCGATCCTGATTGGCACCAGCTCAGAGCCTGCCCCAGCTCTCTCATTTCCACACCTTCACGATACGGATAGCGCAGTCCATCCAGCAGCCCGCCACAGCATGCGGAAGTCTCCTCCTCTGGTTGTTCGGTGTTCAGAACATTCAGGAGGTGACATGAAGAGCACTATCCTGTGCTAGCAGTAATGCCAGTATCCCATGATAACGGTTATATGGAGGGCTTTTAATTGTTTTGTTATAAACTGTCAGCTTTATCTCTTGTGCATCATCTGGACATTTATTAAGATGCTCGCTTAATCGGCCTCTCTAGGGGCAGTTGCCATGTGGTGATAGTGATGATATCATACCAGACTGGTTCCTGATGCAACTCTCCCAACTGGCTTCAGACCTCTTTGCAGCTCCTAGCACAAATCCTACTCACGACAGATTTCTCAGAAATACGTAAATAGGTTGCAGTGGATGAATGTGTGTACATTATGGTGACACACTCCCAACAGAAGTCAAGGCTTGGTGAGATCAATCTCAGCCAACCCTACATTACCCACCCAAGAGGCAGCAGTTACGTTGCTGCACCAGGTGCTGTCTTTCCTGGTGCTGATGTGATGGTGAGCACTGACTGTCTCTTGCCACCACTTTGCATGCTTTTGAGAGGTCCTTCCCAGAAAACAATCTTTAATAGTAACATCAACGCTAGTTTCCAGACATGGCACTTAGTGTTCAGCTGGAATGCAAAAAAACAGCATTTGTAAAAGCAGTAAGTCCTGCAGCCCTCCCCTGTAACTTAATGGAGAAATTCATAGGGGATATTGTTCTGGGAGTCCCAATATCAAGAAAGGTGCTAGTAAGCCAGGGAAGAGATTTATATGTAGTGTTGTGAAACCAAACCCCTTATATACCACTTAATTGTTCTGGGAAGGAATAGAAGCAAGCATCAGAGAGCTGGGTAACAACAGCAATATTTTCTTTTTAATTAGGATGCTTCTAGCAGCAGAGAGAGATATTTTTAGAGTATACTGTACATCTTAGACCACATAATTTAAAAGCTGCTGCTATGAAATTAGTGGACGAGGAGAAAGAAGGTATAGATCAACTCCTACAGCAATTGTTCTGAAACGTTAAAGAAGGCATAGAACTGACATCATTACAACTTCTCCATTTGTTATTTATGAATTTATCAATTAATGAATCTGTCAAATAAATAGATCAAAAGTTCTGTTGTATTCACGTCAGTCAAGATACTGACTTTTTAAACACAAGCAAAAAAAAATCCCTATTTCTTGAAAGCTATGTTGAACTGTGTTGAGATAAACTGTTGCAACTTTATTGCAAATATTTTCAAGGCTTTTCTAAAAATATGACAAGACAGCAGAAAGAACTTTTACTAAGACACACACTTCTATCCTTAGAGATGATCTTGGGAATCTGTATGAAACTCTATAGAACCTCTAAACCCACACCCATAATGAAATCAGACTTAAATGTTACATGTGAAATCACAATGCAAAGATTTATATGCACATTAGAGTCTAAATAAAAACAGCGTGTCTTTTGTTTCTAGTCACTAAGCTTCTCCTTGTAGGAATGAAGATTTGTCAGCCGAGTGGTTGCGGACTACCTCTGTCTCGTGCTCCCAAGGCAGAAGTCCTGGAGCGTAGACTGCTCTGGGTGGTTTGTCCTTTGAGGATGAACCGCAGCCGTGCGGTGCCTTTGCCAAGCCAAGAGCTTTGCCGCCTGGAGAGCTGTGGGACCGAATCGTGCGGGTTCAACCCCAGCTGCCTCTGTGCAGCAGTCACCACCGAGAGGGTCTCTGCAGTTACGGCGACAGCCCCTGTGGTTAGGGAGGTCTCATTGAGGGGAGCAGTGAAAGCAGGAAGGGCAGACAGCTGAGGGCAGTTGAGGGTGTGCATGCGTGTTCTGCGTGTGAGCGCATAAAGAGGAGTATAAGAAGATGCAATAACAGCAGAGACATCCATTCCATATATTCTGCCTAAACAATGTACGGAAGAGTTGCGCAGCATTAAATCCTCCAGATTAGCCAGCCTGTCTGACCTCAGATTAGCTACATCTGATTATCTCAGCTGCAGGACACCTGGCTTTTGCAATATTTTTCCTCTGTGTCCACACCAGAAAAGCCTGAAATGAGATGCATATCTGTGTGTGTTGCAGTGCTGGAGTGGGACGAACGGGAACCTTCATTGCCCTGGATCGGCTCTTACAACACATCCGTGATCACGAGTTCGTAGATATATTGGGGCTGGTGTCTGACATGAGGTCCTATAGAATGTCCATGGTGCAGACAGAGGTAAGATCAGTTCACTTCAACATTGTGAATGTTTCATCGGATCTGTTTCATACCTCTCTGTAAGTGTGTTCATATCCAACAACTGTTGTTCCCCCTGAACGCTTGACAAGCTGTGAATAGAAACAATTAATTTTTTATCTTCATTGTAATATTGTCATGGTATTAATCTCCTGCATAGGTGAGACTGATAATGTATCTACAATCTCACTGACGTCTTCCAGAGGGCATCAGTTATTCTCACCTTCTGAGAGATTAATATGTAAAAATGTATTAGAAGAGATTAACATAGGAAATTTTCAAACCATTTTGAAAAGAATTGGGTTTTCTGAGAGGATTAATGGCTCTTGAAATGATATCAGTATCGAACAGCCATTCACGCTTGTTCAAGAGGGTATCATCTGGACAAGCATAGGAACTAAGTTATACAACAGTGATAAAAATAACAAGCAAAACAGACAAAAGGATTGTGAGTCTGCCAGACACCCTCCTTGCCCCTCTCCCTGCCCAAATATCTACTGGGTATTTCTTTTTCTGTCCTTAAGGCAAATGTCAGGAGAATTGTCATATTAGAATATATAATGGGAAAAAAAAAAATCTCAAACTCTTTTTCCAAAGCAGAAGCTTTTATGCATCTGAAACCTTCCCAGGTCTTCTACTAGTGACAGAAAGATTTCACGCCCTTTGTACTCTTCACTGGTTAGACACAGTATAAGCTGGAAACCTCCATACAGTTGGAAGTGCCACCATCACTGTTTGCAGGCAGATAATTTGTTACCAAGGATTGCTTGACCCGGAGCAAAGCAAAGAAGTCTTAGCAGGGAGAGGAGAGGAGAAGAAAACCTCCAGTGACAACAACTAGCACCTAGGAATGGAAAAGGTCATTAATTTCAGACCATTTGGGATTGGGATTGTTCCTATCAAACTACCACTTTTCATCACAATTCATTAAATTTATCCAAAGACAGATCTTTAAGTAAATACCAGAGAAACTAATCCTGGTGGTTTTTTTCAGCTGCAACGGTGTAACCACTGCAGAGGTGATGTGATTTTTATTTATTTATTTTTTTTTAAGGTACAAACTCATTGCCTGCCTGGGGCTGATGTCAAGGGCTGGGCTTTGGCAGGCGCCGAACTCCTCCTGCTCCAGGCAGTGGCCAAGCCTGGCCGCAGAGGTCACTAGATGGCACTGACACTCAGGCACGGAGGCCACCAAAAAGGCTTTCCTTACAAAACCTGAAACCACACTCAGCTCACCTGGGTTCATCTTGCCTCGTACACTGGAAACTTGGCAGTGTGTCACTCAGCAGTTTAAAAAAAGAAAAAAGGCTTAAGCCCAAAAAGGGGGGATAGATTGGAGAACACTCTGAATTGAAAACAGTCACTCCAAATTAGTGGGTGTGAGAAAATCCAGGCATTTCTGTGGTCTGAAACGTGCTTCAAACTCGTATGGATATCTCCTGGCATCAGCAGACCACTGGGAACAGGGGCTGAAATCCAGACTTGGTCTTTGGGACAGTTGTTTTTTCTTGTGCACAGCACAAATGAAGCTTAGTGTAGGATTCATCAGGGTTTGCCTTCTCTCTCTTTGAAATAACCTTAATTAATGACTTTTAGATTTCAGATTGAATTACAGTGTTTATCTGTACGACGATAAGCCAGTCCACAACCAAAACCAGAGATAACCACAGTCCTGATGCACAAAAAACTGTCTACAAATAGAATGGTGCATGTGATTGACCCACCTTGCTTACCGTGTCATTTGCACAGAGGTTGATAACTCCCCAAATAATTAACTGCTCTGTGAACAAAAACAGGTTTCAGCTTTTTATTGGTAAAAAGTCAAGCATTAAGGACCATGAAGTTCATTAAAATATTTGAGGAGCATGTGTGACATGGATGCAATTTGCTGCACATAAAGCATTCAGGCACCTTTCTGGGGTTTAATTCATTTTCAGGCAATATAAAGTAACCCACTTCCAGAAGGCCATACAGAGCCTCCAAGCTGAATGCTTGACAGCATATAGTGTAAGTTATACCTATACCACCAAAAGACATCAAGTGTTTAGTTACAGCTCTCCACAGGTCCCTATAGTTGGTTGCCCCTATATAAATGATCAGGACCATAGGACTGACATTCCTAGTCCTGCCAAATTAGCAGCGTGGACTGTGTCAGATATCATGACAGTGAAAACTCTCAGTTCATGCTTAAATGGAAAAGATTTCCCTGTACAGGCGGCAGGACTGTTACTCAGGAGGAAGCATGCAGCTTAGCAGTGCTGCTCCTCACTGGAACTTCTCTCACATGCCATGGCCGCCGTCCATATGGCTGCTGGCATCTACTTGCACAACCTCCTCCTCAGGTTTCCTTAATTCACAAGATACAACCAGCCAAAAGAAGAAGTATGAAGGATAGCAGTTATTGTTTCTAAATGCAAATAAAGTTTCTCGTAAGCTAAGTTATAATTACGGCACTTCTCCCACTGCATGGTTGTGACTTAGAATATATGTAGTTCTGAGTTTAAATTTGCCACCAGCAGAAGATGCCGTCGCAATAGTGAGAGAAACTGTCCTGGTGGTTAATTGTAGTTATTGGTAAAAACCCATCCCTTTATGCTAACCTCAAGTGACTCAGCTTCAGCTTCCAGTCAGGTGGTATCAGTGTCAGCCAAGACTACAACACAGTGTTAATTCATGTGAATTCACTGGGTTTGTCTAGTTTGGTGAGAAGGAGGCTGAGGGATGACCTCACTGCTCTCTGCAGCTTCCTGAGGAGGGGACATGGAGATGGAGGAGCTGAGCTCTTCTGCCTGGTATCCCATGATAGGACACATGGGAATGGTTCAAAGCTGCACCAGGGAGGTTCAGACTGGTCAGCCTTGAGGCGGTCAGGCAGTTGGACTAGATGATTGTTGTAGGTCCCTTCTAACTGAAAATATTCTATTGTATTCTAGTCTAGTCTATTCTATGCATCTCCTGTCATCATTCACGTTATTATGAATCCAGGGCAGCTCAGGTGGATTTCATGCTTCCTCAGCTGCTATCTGTAATTGTGGGCTATTATTTTGGGAGCCGACAGCATTGCAAGGGGCGGAGGAGGGGGAGAGAGAGGGAGAAGCTATGCAGGCTGTTACTGTAACCTATCAAACTGTTTCACTGTTTGGGTTTTTGTCATGCTTTCTGAGGTGCAAAAATGCCCGCTCATTTGGCTTTTTCTTGCAGGAACAATACATTTTTATTCACCAGTGTGTGCAACTGATGTGGCAAAAGAAGAAACAGCAGTTCTGCATCAGCGATGTCATATACGAGAACGTCAGCAAGTCCTAGTTCCGAGTCACAGGTGGTAAGTGAGGCAAGCCCAGCCCTGCGCCATGCCTGCAGCCTCGCGTCCCAGCTCCTCAGCAGCAACCAGTGCCACGGGTGTTTGCTCCAGGAGCTTTGCTGGTGGTTTGGAGCTTTCCAGGCCTCATCCCTCTTTGAGATGATGTTCATGTGGAGAGTGCAAGGAAAATCCCTCTGGCCTCTCGCAGTAAATAATCTGCTATACTTTCCACGGCACTGTAAGAGTATGTTGACTCAGTCATAGTTTGAAGAAAAAGAGAATCCGGAAATCCTGAGGGAGCCATCTAACCACTCCCTGCCATTTGTCCTAACACTCCTTACAAAGCTTAAAGGAGGGGAGGACTTTAATATCTTCAGTCATTCTCAAGTCACTTACCGACTGCCAGGTTACTGAGGCCAGCAGAGGTTTGGGGACGCTCTGCCAGCACTGCTGCTGTGGCAACAGGGCCTGCTGGAGGGTGAGGTGGGAACCAAAAAGCTCTGATGTGAAACGGGGGATTTTTTTTTTTTTTTTTTTTTTTTTACATAAATCTAAAACCAGGGAACAGGAGTGGTCTCAAACTGGTACCACCATTAACATAGGCAAAGTGACCACCTTGCCTTTCTGCTGAGGCCCAGTGCCTGCCCTGTGCGCCCAGCCCAGCCCCATCCCCAGCTGCAGAGTAAAACCCACCACTCTCACCTACCAAGTGGTTGCTGGTGGGGACCAGCTGTGAGGATGTACATCGCTGCTTTTTAAGCTAATGAGCTTTAGTTCATTAGGTGGCAGTAATAACTCAGCCATAACCTTAATATTTGCTTTCAACACAAACTGGCTTCTCAAAGAGCTGGTGGAGAGATGGGCCGTGGGCACCAACACCAGCCGTCTCTGCTGCGTGTCTGCGGTGTTGCACGTGCGCCTTTATTAGCCTCTGTGTACGTCATGGCCCTGCCTGTAAAATAAACCATAATTTGGCTTGCTTTTCCTGATGTCCAGGCAGTTTACTGTCTAATCTGAGTCACAGAGGCCAGCTGCTTGTATTGGTGGGCTGCAGACCCATGGAGGGCTGGTAAAAATGAATGCCAAGCGCTGTATTTATTTCCTTTTTTATTTCTAAAGCATTCTGTTTGTTTGGTTCCAGGTGAGACCATGAAGCACACCCATCTTCCCTTGCTTCTGACTTTTTTTTTATTTGATGGTTTGAACGGCCAGTTGTTCTGCCACAAGAACTGCTTTGCAGTACACGGAGAATGAAAGAGAGAAACTTTTAACTTTCTGAAGCACTGGGGAGACAAAGCCTTAACAAGCCTGCGGTGTCTTTTGAACTGTTTAATTTCTGGACATTTTTTTAAAATACCGGACCAAATTAAACTAAACAACATGAAGGAAAAGACACTATATGTGCATAAAATAGATTGCTCCAGAGTGTTGGGTTTTTGTTTGGTACTTTTTTTTTTTTTCCTGTGCAGGTTGGGCTTAAGGTTAAAGTAAGTGCAATATTTTTTTAATAGTTGACTGAAGAACTTTCTTCATGTGTCACTGGTCTGTGCTAACATCCATAGGAGAGCAGGCATTGTTAGTATCTAATAATACCTCATTAGTGAATAGCGAGGCATGAACATACATGAAGAAATCTGGAGATTGTGAAGAGAAAAGG